GTAGAGTTTGTGTGCATTTCTTCAAATATAAACGTTTTCTTTAAAATACATGAATAACTCATTAATTGCAGGTCTGATCACCGAATGGCTTACAATTCAAACCATGCAAATAAACACCGTATGAATTGCAGTATGAATTACATTCAAAACACATCACATTTTAACACTTATTTAGCAATACATAAGATTTAAATAATTTAAATGACTAATCAATTGCTAAAATATATTTTTAGTTTTTTTGTAATAAAAATTATGAAAATGGTAAAATTAGGAGAGAGAGAGAGAGAGAGAGAGAGAAGCGGATACTTTTTTCTGTGTCTCGCATTGAAATGTGGCGTAAAGTGTATTGAATTGAATGGAGATATGAATGAATTGAATGGCAATGCATTGCAATTACTACCAGAAAAACTTGTGATAGCGTTGTGTCGATGAGAGAGAGGCATAGACTGCGAGTATGGGAGCGAATGTTTGGCACCATTTATAGGATTATAGTAGAGATGTGTTGACCACTGATTGCGGTTATCAAAAGGTTATGGATTTGACGCTTACTTTTAGCTCTGCATACAAAGTGTACATAAAAAGTGTGCAAACATTGGATGCATTCAATGCATAACACTATGAGAGAGAGTGTACTGTATATTGTTGTCACTCATTGTCTCATCACTAGTAAAGTCGATGTCTAGACATGTGATGGCGGACTCAATACCACCACTAATGCCATACCATTTGCTAATTAACTAATTAAGTAATCAATTCATTCATTATTACAAACATATATTCAAGTCATATATAATTATTGACACAATTTTAAGTCCATTTTATTGTCTCCGCAAACCTATTGATATGTTTTGTAAACATTTTCAGTGTTTCAATCAATTTGTGTTTTGATTGGCTTTTTGTCACTGTTTTTGTTGTCAACTCTGCCATCAATTCAGTGCTCATTAATTATTATTGGTTTTAATTGTTTTAATCATTATTTTATTGATTACTAATTTAAGTACAAAATTAATTTCCGGTATTTATTAATAATAATAATAAAAATGTGTCATAAAATGGATGTGAATGTGAAGTGAGTCCACACTTATCGCCGATTATCTGTTGTATTGAATTGCGAGACAATGAGTGCCGAACCCCGAAGAGTGTCGCTCAAGACTGTGCCCACTGTTGGCAGCACTTCCGACCCAAACAACAGGTCCGACACAACCGTCGGACACAAGAAGACGTCGAAGAATAGTAAAGAGACGCCAAAAGAGCCCAAAACGAAACGATTTGTTTTGACACTCAATGAAGACATCGATGGATGCAATGAGTTCTCGTTCAATGAGTTGCTCAAGACTTTAGACGAGACCAATAATGTATGCCATTGTTTCGCACCATTTGTTTATTCACTACTTTATTACCACTTTTTGTTTACCCAATGATTGTGTNCGATGGATGCAATGAGTTCTCGTTCAATGAGTTGCTCAAGACTTTAGACGAGACCAATAATGTATGCCATTGTTTCGCACCATTTGTTTATTCACTACTTTATTACCACTTTTTGTTTACCCAATGATTGTGTTTATGAAATGAATAATTGATTTATATTTGTATTTCTTGTGACCGAAAGGACGAACCAAATGGTGATGAAGACGACGACCCGATGCTCTCTAATGATGAGCAGAATCTGCGAAAACTGGAAAAACATTTTCAATTAAAATACGGTCCGAAGAAGAGGCGTATGATTGAAGACCATATCGACAAAGGGTGCGGTTATGACGACACGGATCCGTTCATCGATAACGAAGAGGCGTACGACGAGTTGGTTCCGTCCACTCTCACCACTAAATACGGCGGCTTTTATATCAATTGCGGTGAACTCGAGTTCAGACCGCTTTCGCCCGAAGCCGAGGGAGATATACCTGAAGAAGAAGAGGACGAAGAGGACAACATTCGGCCTGTGATTAAGGTTTGCCTTCACTTTCGCCCAATTGATGGCAAAGTATGCTATCATTTACTAAATGTTAACTCATTTTTTAGCGCAAAAAGAAATTAAAAGTAATCGACGCGAAGAGGAGGCGCTCGAGCGCTGAACTAATCCAAAAGAACCCGAAGAATAACAGTAATGTTCAGGTCGTCAGCAAAACAGTGGCCCAAATGCTTAAACACAAGAAGTCTAATAAACCGATTGCAAGCAATAGTAATAATAATAACAATAATAATAATAATAACGATGAGATCGAAGAGATTCAGTTGAATGATTCGGAAGATGAGGACTTTGTCTCCTCATCGGTGAGAGAAGTGGTCAACTCTGTGGCCAAAGGAGAGGATCAGCCAAACGGACAGAAAAAAGCGGTACAAAAGGTGTCGAATGGCTCTATAGAGGCCGAAGAACTTAATTTGGACGACAATTTATATACTGTTAAACTGCCCAACGGTTTGCCACAAGATTTACTTCTACTCATCGATAAAATTAAAAAAGTAAGACATTTATTGTTATTATTGAACGAATTGTAAACACAAATTGTTAATCCAAAAGATGGTCCAAACGTCACACGACGGCAAACGAAACGTCTTCACCACTGAAGTCAATAAACTTCTCTCTGAGTGAGTCTTTGTTTATAAATTATGCGTTAATTGTATTAAGTATTTGAGTAATGATTTACAAAACATAATTGTCTCGCAATGACAGAGTGGATGAGAGGTCGCGATCACTGCCACAGCACAGCAAGACACAGATCTTCGCGCATTTGGCCTCAAAAATACCGGTCACTAAACAGACACTCATCTCGAAGACGAAGAAGGCGTCAATCGAGTCCTACGATTACGAACTCAATTCGGCGATCGCTAGGATTGTGCAGATCGTGGAATCGCTGACTCCACACGTGTTTCGTGTGTATCAGTCGGCGATGGAATTGGCGAAACAGACGTCCGAAC